GAATAATAGCCTTGATGGATATAGTAATCTTGGTCTCAGATCCTTGCTTTCTATTACCTTGAGTACTTCATGCCATTCCCTTCTAGCCTGTAGAGTTTCTATTGATAAATCAGTTGTCAGCCTTATAAGAATTCCTTTGTAGTTAACATTTTTCTTTTCTCTTGCTGCTTTCAAGATTCTGTCTTTAATTTTTGGCATTTTAATTATGATGTGTCTGGGCCTATTTGGGTTCTTTGTACTTAGGGTTCTCTGTGCCTCCTGAAGTTGTGTGACTTTTGCCTTTACCAGGTTAGGGAAGTTTTCTGTCATTATTTCTTCAAACACATCTATGCTTTTCTCCCTTTTGGCCTCTTCTGGCACACCTGTTACTTTAATATTATTAAATTTCACAGTGTCCCACAGCTCCCTTAAGCTTTTCTCCTGTTTTTTTTTTTTATTGTTTTGTTTTGTTTTTTGGTTCTCAGATTGAGTGATATATTAAACTCTGTCTTCTAATTCACTGACTTGATCCAGAGCTTTCCCTAATCTGCTGTGTATTCCTTCTGTTCTTCATTTGTGTTATGTCATTCTTTATTCAGACTGTTCTGTTTTCATAGTTACTATATCTTTTTTTTTTTTTCATGCTTTTGAGCATATTTACCATCATTATCCTGAAATTCTGTTTCAGATAAATTTTTCTCTGCTTCATTTATCTCTTTTTCTGGAGAATTCTCTAGTTCTTTCATTTGGAGGTTGTTTGTCCCCTTATTTTGGCCTTCTGTTTGGGTTTGTGACTATTAGGTAGATCTTCTACCACCTCTCAATCTCTAGTGCAGGACAGTGTTAAAAGCTGTTTCTAATTATATCAAGAAAGACTGGAAGCCTCCAGAGACTGCCTCCACCTACAGACCGATGGATTCTGACTTGAATTGCCCCCCAGGGAATTGTCTTCAGGAAAGGCAAGATTATTTTTTCCACAGGGTATCAGTTGCTTCTGCCTGGAGGATAATTGTTACTTTTAATCTCCTAAGTGGCCTCAGGGCAAGGTGTTTCCCAATAGGGTGTGTCAACTGTCTTACCCCCAGGCAAGGCAGATGTGTATGTGGGAAAGATGTCCTCTACTGAGGGAATGACTTAGCCCAAGAGACTTGGGATGTCTGCCTTTTTAGCTCTATCCCTCAAGTCCCCAATTCAAGCTTCTGTTTTCACAACTCCAGTCCACTTCATGCTCCCTCTGCCTGAGAACAAGGTAGGTGGCTCTAGAGAGAATTTTGTGCATTGGCCCTTTAAAAGTGTGTCCAAATTTTCAGCTGTTACTCTCTAGCAGACAGCACCCTGCTACTGTTTACAGCCAGATGTTACCTGGGGACCCTCCTCAGTTTTGGTGCTCTTCTGGGATCCCAGCTTGGGGTTTAGATCTCAGAGTTTCCAATGGCAACCCCCACATCTGAGACATGTTTCTGAGGCTTCAGTTGCTGTCTATAGGTGTCCATCTAGCCCTTCTGCACCTTAGTATCTTTTACCAGTCTCTATGCAGTCTCCACTTTCAGTCCTCAGATTTCAGGGTTCTATCATGTGAGCTTTCCATTGATTATTACAGAAGTTTTTCTGTATTTTAGTTGTAATACCAGTTTGTTCCTGGAAACATGTCCCTACAGCATCCACTTACTCTGACGTCACTGCTGACTATCTGCACATACTGCTGTAAGAGCAAACTGTCATTAAGGGTCTCTCGATACTCTTAAACTAAGGTGGTCTTAACTAATCTGTTTCAAGCAGCTTTTTTGACAATATTGTCACTTAATACCATTTACATTCAAAATCTACATACTTAAAGCAGAGAGAAGAAAGCTGCCATTACAAACATTCAAATGCTTGCAACTACTAATCCACAACAAAAGTCCCATGATAAAGCTACAAGGTTGGAGAATTAGGAATATACATTGGCAAAAGTGCTACTCAGTGACACAGCCAGCAATTAGGATATATGGCAGTATGGCCAAAGTGATCCAAAACAAGGAATTACATAATCTAGAACTACCTTGTTTTTAAAGTAAAATATATTTTGAACTAAACATATCTACAAACTGAGCTTTATCAGCATCTAAAGGAAAAGGCAAAATATTTATCTTAGGGTATATAAAAGGTACAAATCCCTAAAGAAAAATAAATACATACTGTGAGCTTGTCCAAATGCTAAGATTTCTTTCTGATTCTAAGAAATGACTCTCAATTTCCAAATGAGCTCATCTGCTCACCAACTTATTTCTATGTTAAAAACCTTCAAGAAAACATCTGGCCCATTGTTTATGATCCCAAATTACCTGTTTCAATTTAATTTTTGTAAACTGGAATTCCCTTACAAAGTAAATGTTTAAAATAACGGGATGAGGTAAACCCTATCATCATGCTCCATTTTAAGAGCCTCTTTTTCAAAACTCCAAACTATCCCAATACATGAAAAACTATGTTGCAGCCCAGCCAGAGTGGCTTAGTGGTTAAGCATCAAACTATGAATCAGGAGGTCACGGTTAGATTCCATGTCAGGGCACATGCCCAGGTACTAGGCTCAATTCCCAGGTGGAAGCAGCCAATCAATAATTTGCTCTCATCATTCTATCTCTCTCTCCTTCCTCTCTGAAATCAATAAAATATATTTTTTAAATAGCTATGTTGCAGTACTGATTTGTAAAATTTATAACTTATGTAATATTGTAATGTAATTATAGTAAAACCCTTTTTTTCTAGTCATTTCTTCTGAATGATCCTAGAAAAAGCTTTCCTTTCATTTTGATTAGTCTATTATTTCACTGTAAGGAATCACCTTAATATGATGAAGAGAAAAATATTTAAGAGTTAGTTATGACCCCTACAAAATATGTGCGTTTTGGGTAACTTTTTATTAGCTGAAAATATTGGTTAATGACCACAATGACCCAACGGTTTAAAAACCACTTCCAATCACATGGAAAAACAGTGCTTCAAATCCCTTTCTGGGGAAATGGCACCCAACCTAAAAACATTCCTATTTTTCTTTGACTAAATGTTTCACAAACTGCAGAATCACTTACTTTGAATCTCACAATTCACACTCAAAAAATGAGTAATTCTAATGGCTACTTCAATCTTACCTGCTTGATTATACAGCTAAGCTAAATCTTTTCCATCAGCATCATTAGAAATATAGAGAAGGAGTTAACAGAAGTAAAATTTCTATCTAGATTAAGCACATTTCTAGTAATACAGCTGATTTGTTCAAAGGAATTGCTTTTTTTTTCCTTCAGAAGAATAATAATGTCTGTGGCTTCAGATTAAGAAATGTTCATTCCTATCCCCATTTTTCAGTTTATTATGCATCTCAGTATTAACTACAACTCCAAAAGCAAGATCCTGCATCACTTAGTCTAGTGTCAAAGACTAGCCGTGAAATACTGGTTGCAAGCTACTTATCAAATTGCCTTCATATAACAAAACTGGATACTCAAATTAGACAAGTATCCACCCACAAATGAATATATAAAATAAGGAAACATTAGTCTCACCCACCCCAAATTATCATTTAAAACACACTAACCATAAACCAATATAATAAGTACTTTAAAACCTTTTCTGATAAATAGTCGAAACCGGTTTGGCTCAGTGGTAGAGCGTCGGTCTGCAGACTAAAAGGTCCCGGGTTCGATTCCGGTCAAGGGCATATACCTGGGTTGCGGGCACATCCCCAGTAGGGGGTGTGCAAGAGGCAGCTGATCGATGACTCTCTCATCGATGTTTCTTACTCTCTATTCCTCTCTGTAAAAAAAAAATCAATAAAATATATTTTTTTAAAAAAACAAAAAACCTTTTCTGATAAATAAAGGCTTTTAATGTAGTCATGTGGTTGGTCATGAAATACAGTTTCTTAAATTGAATGATTACTACCAAACAAATGAAAGAAAATTCAAATTATAAGAGAGAAGAGATTTCTCAGTGAACATATATCAACATTTTATTAATTATTTCCAGCAGGTAAAACTTGTATATTTCATTTGGGCTCCTCCTATTAAATCAAGCTTAAAGGAATTCATTAAATTACTAAAAAAGTGGAGACATTGAAATAAAGTAACTCTGAAGTGTCAACAGAGATTAGAGTCATGTTCATCTAACCTTCTCCTATTTATTTAAAGGTCTCTAAAAATGTTTTAAATGGATGATGCTATATTTATGTGTGAGCGTGTGCACACACACATGCATACACATATCTCATTTATTTGTTTCTTTGTGTAACTTCGGATAACAAAAGCAGTATATTTAAGGTGGAAACAGAAAAAGCTATTAATTTCTGAGGCTATTACTGCCAGTATGGCAAATATCAAATTACATCAGGGTTTTCTAGTCTTTAAAGAGAAATATATAAATTTTGGTCCAAAACAAAAGCAATATCTTATTTTGGTGGAAAAAAAATAAAATTCTCACCACTAGATGATAGTTATAATGCTGGTTAATGACGAAAACATTCTATATTAACTGACACAAGAACTGAATTTTTCCTCAAAAAGGTTATAGTGGGAAACACTTTAAAAATATAAGTAGAGATATCTATTATAGAAGTATTTCAATGGAGGTTGCAGAAAAGAAAAACAATGAACCTTACTGTCCTCTTTTTTAAATTAAAAAACAACAGACATTTTCCACCTAAATTATCAGCATAAAGGAGGTTTTAAAAACTGTAAAAATTTGGAAACCAATCTGATTAATCTGGTTGTGAATATCATCAAATGGCTATCAGGCCTCAAAAATGGAAATGGGATAAAGTCAAATAGTAACAAAAATAATGATTTGAGAAAAATGAAGGCAATAACAAGAAAATAATTTGGGGCTAAATATAGTTAAAAAGTTGTAAAAGACATAAAACTCAAATCCACTTTCAAATAAATCTTATCTGAAGGAGTATGGATAATGGGAATATATAATTTTTAATGAAACAATTTTGCTTCAGTGCAAATGTATAGTGGGAAAAAAAAGGAAATGTCTCATGTGACTTAGCAGGAACAGTTTCCACAACCTTTCACACTGTTCACAATTTCTTCTTGTAGTTTCTTCCTTTCCTCCTCTTTGGATACATTTTCTTTCTTTGCATGCCATTTGGAGTTATCAAGGTTCTGCACATGGCTGCTCTGTGTATGCCACATTTCTGAATAGATACTGCCAGGATTAGCAAGCAAACCATGATGGGTACCACGTTCAGCTACTTTACCCTAAAAAAAAAAAGCAAAAACAAATGAAACATAGAGAAAGATCATACAACTAGCAAAATAACCGAAAAAATATATCTTCTAACTAAAGATCACATCTTTATCTATTCAGCTATTGATGGACACCTAGGTTGCTTCCATATTTTAGCTATTGTAAATAATGCTAAATGAACTCAGGGATGCATATATCTTCTCAAATTAGTATTTGTTTTCCTTGGATAAAAATATAGAAGTGAAATTATTGATTTGTATTATGGTTCTATTTTTAAGTTTTTTTGAGAAATCTTAATACTGTTTTCTATTAATGGCTGCAACAATTTATAATCACACCAACAGTGTATAAGGGTTACCTTTTTTCCAAATCCTTGCCGACACTTGCTAATACTTTTTGATAATACCCATTTTGACAGGTGTGAGGTGATATATCATTGTGGTTTTTATTTGCATCTCCCTAATCATTAGTGATGTTGAGTATGTTTTGATGTCTGTTGACCACCTGTATATCTTCACTGGAGAACTACCACATGCCTTCTAAACATTTTTATTAGATTCTTTTTGTTATGGGGTTATATAAGCTTCTAATGGGATATATCTTTTCCCATTTATCAGCTAGCCTTTTTGTCTTGTTGATGGTTTCTTTCACTGTGCAGAGGCTTTTTATTAGTTTGATGAAATCCCATTTGTTCATTTTTGCTTTTGTTTCTCTTGCTCGAGGGGGTGTATCTAAAAAGATATGACTATGAATGATGTCAAATAGTTTATTACTTATGTTTTATTCCAGAAGTTTTATGGTTTCAGGTCTTACATAAGTCTTTAATCCATTCTGAGTTTACTTTTGTATGTGATGTAAGAGAGGGATTCAGTTTCATTTTTTTGCATGTATCTATCTAGTTTTCCCAACACTACTTATTGGAAAGACTCTCCTTTCTCTATTGGATATTCATTTCCATTTGTTGAAGATTGACTGTATAAGTGAGGGCTTATTTGTGGGTTCTCTATTCTGTTCCATTGATGTGTCTGCTTTTGTGCCAGTGCCATACTGTTTTGATTAATATGGTTTTATAATATAGTTCCAAACTAGGGAGCATAATATCTCCAACTTTGTTCTTCTTTCTTAAGATTGCATTGATTGTTTGGGGTCATTTATAGTTCCATTTAATTGTTCTGGTTCTGAAAAGAATGTCATTAACATTTTAATAAGGACAGCAATGAATCAGTAGATTGCTTTGGGTAGTATCCCTAGAGTGCTTGATGTCACAAAGGCCCCTTATACTATCCTTGTTTTTGAAAATCCTTTTTTCTTTTTACTATCCTGATTGGCTAATTTTCACTATTCTATCTCCAGATCACTACTCTGTTCTTCTGAATTAAGTCTGCTGTTAATTCCTTCTAATTGGTTTTTCATTTCCGTTATTGTATTCTTTATCATTGGCTTTTTATTATATTTTCTCTCTTCTTTCTGAGTTTCTCTATTGTACTTTCAAGTTTGTTGAGCAACTTTATAGTAATTTATTTGAATTCTTTATAATGGGAATTAGTTATCTCCATTTCATTAGGAAATTTTTCTGGATTTTGCTCTTGTTCCTTTATTTGGAGCATATTACTCTCTTATTTTGACTTTCTCTGTTTGTTCCTATAACATAGATGTGATAGGTATCTCTCCTAATCTTGAAAAAGTGGCCTTTATGTAGACTGTTAGTTTAGGTAAGCTGGTTCAAATCAGGACTGGAGTATGTGGCACCTTGGTTGTAGCCTGGCCAGAAAGAGTAGGTTAGGGGAAGAACAGCCTCGTATGCACACATCTATTGTAGCTCCCTGTTGTTCCAGCTTTTTGCCTATGGAACAGTCATAGCAGGGCAGCCCTGTGGGAACACACAGCAGTATCCTAATATGTGTAACACTGTAACCTGTTGGACCCACTGAATCAAGCTCCAGCTGGGGGGACTAGGAATGCACTAAGGCGTTAGTTGGAGCACAAAGATAGAGTTCCTGCCTGCATTATCCAAGTGGAGGAAGATAAAAACAATAGCACTCATAGATTCCTCCTTTCCTAGATTGTTCTCAGATCCCAAAAAAGTCTCTGTTTCTCAGCCTTCTCTATGAAATCTCCCATTTGTTGTGCAGAAGCTACTTAATCAACTTTTTTTTTGATTGTCTTAAGAGGTCTTCCTTTATTATCCACTGATAATTAAAAGTTGTGCCTTAAAAAGCTGACTTGGGAGTAGCCTTTTCAACTGTTGGGTTTCACTGAAGGATGATTACATGGGTAGCTGGTCTTTTGTTGAGGCCCTCAAATTCAAATATCTCTTTTTTTCTGAGGCTACCTTTTTTTCTCCAGAGAAGAATCTTCCAATTATCTGACGATGAGGGAAGGAGTGATGATAGCAGAAATAAACAACTGGTTGGCAAGGTTCTGGGAGCCAGTAGCACAAGACAGTCTGTGTGGTCTTGTTTTGTTGGTATGTTTTGATTACCACTTAATCTAGCCCCTCGTTGCAAATTTGTTTGGTAATTTTAATATGTCCAGAGCCTCTGACTAAATTTCCTGACAAGCAAAAATCTAACCTATTGCCAAGGCTGGGAAGGGGTAAACACTAGGCTGTACAAGCTGAGGAAGAGTCTTAGGAATGCTATTCTTTTTCTTTCTTTCTTTGTTTTTGTTAATCCTCACCTGAGGAATATTTTCCATTGATTTTTTTAGAGAGAGTGGGAGGGAGTGAGGAGGAGAGAAAGAAACATTGATGTGAGAGAGACACTTCCATTGGTTGCCTCCTGAACCCACAACCCAGGCACCTGCCCTTGACCAGGAATCGAAATCTTAAACCTTTGATGAACAGGCCAATGCTCTAACCACTGAGCTAATAGGCCAGAGTGGGAATGCTATTTCTCATGTAGACTCAACATTAATATTATAAGAGACTGCTGACAGAACAAATGAAGTCCAAGTATGTTTCACTAGAAAACAAAAATATCTGATCTTCACGATCATGCAATTACAGAACCATTGAATTATGAACCCAAAGATATTTTAGATACAGGTGACATAATCATTAATAAGTTATTTCCAATTATAATCCAAACTCCAAGTAGCAATGTTGTAATATAACTGTATAAAGACTGTGAACCTTATGTCATGAGGCAGGTAAGCACATGCCTGCTAAAGTACTAACATTTTATAAGAAAAGGCTTTATTTGCATAACTGCATACAATTGGAAAATTTAGTTTTAAAAAAAGCACAAAACACCAGATTTTATTTCAGATTCTTAAATATCAATGAGATAATAAAGCACACCCACAAAATTTTTCATTTAAGATATTCTGGTTGAATCATATGGGGAAAAATAACTTTATTTTCTAATGAATGTACACAGTGATGAACAAATAAACCGAAAAACCTAGGGTCTCCAATACACAGGTAACTTATAAAGGGAATAATATATACACCACAGAATATCATATACAACATTTAGTGGCATGAAAAATTCTATCTCAGTAACTTAATATGGAAAGTATATGAGAATGTTTCTTCTTCTTTAACTCCCAGTACTCAGGGTTTCAAAAATGATAAAGAATTGAAGGTTCATTTATTAGGAGGAAAAGATAATCAAGGATAATGCTGCATGAAAATTGAAAAAACAAAGTGTTAGATAATGTACCAGGGGTGGGGAGAAGTCCTTATAGAAAGTAGAAAAGAGAAACTATTACAAATTTCAAATCCACGAATCACAATAGCAGTACTTTGATTTGTCTATGACATTTAGACAGTACACTTTTATATTAATTCCCATAGAAGAGAGACAGTGGGCTGTCCATTTTATTATTTTCCCCATGAGAAAAACTATTAAACTATTTCATTTACTTATGTTTGTTAAAATTAACAATGTTCTTCAAATACTAAACTTTATAGTTAAATTTCTTACCTTGTCCAAGACTATGATTTCATCTGCATCAACTACTGTTGACAGTCTGTGTGCAATGAAAATAGAAGTTCTGTGTTTAACTGCATCCCTCATGGCACTAAGAATTGTCTGTAAGATTGGCAACAAGAATAAGAGGGAAAAAAAGATTAGGTAGATGTAAATTAAAATAACCATATATTTCCTAAAGGAACACATAAAATGTCAATTAATTTTATACTACATAAACTTTATACTACTACCAAATATTTGAAAATATATATATATATATATATATATATATATATATATATATATATATATAGTGTCCAAACGTGATGACCAAGCGACTGGTCACCATGAGGTGCATTGAGTACCTGCCGGTCCCTCCATCCCAGCCGGGCGGGGTGGGACTGGGGACTGGTGAGTGGGCTGAACAACTATCTCTTGGTCCCTGTCCCAGGCCCGCAGGCTCCAATGGATCAGCGATGGTGAACGGGAGAATTGGGGTGGGTGCCAGGAGGACTGGGCTGGCTGTCAGGCTGTTGGGATCACCAGCTCATCCCCAGCTGCTTGAGGACTCAGGCCTGTGGGAAAGCAGATGCCGGCGACTTCACCTCCATCCATGTGTGTCAGCCAGCCGCTGATGGAATGCGCTGCCTACTCAGGATGGTTCATACTAGGTCGTGTAGGTCACGGGCATGCCCTGCAGCTTCTGTCAACATCTCAAGTTCCAGCAGCAACAGCAGTGGCAGCGCCCACGTGAACGGCCCCAAGCACAAAGTGTGTTCCATCACTGGCTGACTTAGCGCACATATATGGAGATGAAGTAGCCGGCACCCGCTTTCCCGTAGGCCTGAGGACTGGCGAATGGACAGAAGATAGCCCTGATTGCAGGAGGCTAGGCCCTAGGGACCCTACCTGCACGATTTCATGAGCTGGGCCTCTAGTCTAATAATAACTAAGGGGAAAATCAATTTAAAAAAAAAAGGGGGGGGAGAAGGTAAATATGACCACATTATCCTGGAAAAATTAGCTTTAAGATAAGCAATATTTCTGTAAATTTTAGTCTGGGAGAAGGTGGATATTTTCTATACTTAAAAACAAACAAACCATAATGATGAATAATTAGGAGCATATCCAGATATGATGTTTATTTGGTCAATGAGAGCAAAAATGAAATGAGGGACTCAAATGGTAAGATGCAAAGAAATTAAAAAAAAAAGATTAAGAGAAAAATATGAGACTCAATGGGCATGTATTTGCTTTACCTTCAAACTTAGAGGACAAAAAGGACACAGAAAATCATGTATGTATAACTTGAAGAAACTTATTTTTTTAATTTATTTTTTTTATTTTGAAGGAATATTTAATATTAACATTGTGAGTTATTATCTTTTGCATATCAAAGTTACACATTTCAAACAAATCATCATTTATATTTACAGTATACAAATGCAAAGCACTAATTTCCCACTAAATCATCACTTCCTTAAAATGGTACATGTGATGTTATGAAATTAGCTATTAAGTATTCAAAATAGTGGAAGAGAGGTCCTTTCTTCAGTCTTCTTTTTTTAATATATATTTTTTTGATTTTTTTTTTGCCCTCCTCCCTCCTTCCCACACATCCCCTTCCTCCCCAGAGTTTTATGTCCATTGGTTGTACTTATGTGCATGTATAAAAGTCCTTCGGTTGATCTATTATCTCCCCCAGATCTTCCTCCCCTCCCCACAGTAATTTGACAGTCTGCTTGTTGATATACTGTCTCTATATCTATCTTTTGGTTCATCAGTTTATAATGTTCTTTATTATCCACAAATGAGTGAGGTCATGTGGTGTTTTTCTTTCATTGACTGGCTTATTTCACTCAGCATGATGTTCTCCAATTCCATCCAGATTGCTGCAAATGATGAGAATTCCTTCTTTTTTATGGCAGCATAGTATTCCATTGTGTAGATGTACCATTGTTTTTTGATCCAATATTCTGCTGACAGGCACCTAGGTTGTTTCCAGATTCTAGCTATTGTAGATTGTGCTGCTATGAACATAGGGGTGCATATATCCTTTCTGATTGGTGTTTCTAGTTTCTTGGGATATATTGAGGAAACTTATTTTTAAAATAATTCTGACTTCTTAATGCATTCTGGAAAAGACATTTTTGTTTACTTTACCTGTAAAGTGTGTGTGTGTGTGTGTGTGTGTGTGTGTGTGTGTGTGTGCGCGCACGCAAAGTGTGTGTACACACACACACACACACACACACACACACACTTTGCATACATATACACATTAGAAACCTCGGTCTAAATACAGCTAGCTAAATGAAAACAGGCATGTGGGAGATGGAGATATATCAAATGTCTTCCTATTGATATTTCTAAACATTGTATTTATTAAAGAAATAAAATTATCAAGAGTACATGGTTACCCAGGAAAAGAAGTTATATTTTACTACTGCAGACTGAAAAGAAAGTGCAGGACCAATTCTAAGAAAAATTGTGATGTCTGTAGGGACTCCACTTCCTAATCCTCAAGAAATTAAACTCTTATGTGCTCTATGGACCTATTAAAAAGGACCAAATATGTTGATAACCCATTCCCTTGGGAAGATTCTCTGATACCTTTTAATGAGTTATGCTCCATGACATGATAAAGCTACATGGCTCAAATAATGACTGTTGAGACTCTTAATTTGTTATGAACATGAAGGAAATATTTTTAGATATAAAGTTTTTATAAACAGACTTGTGCTGGTGGGGTCCTTTGGCCTGATCTAGGGGGATCAATGGACCTCCGTGCTGCCACAGCCCGGCCTTACCTGTTAGGGCTCCTGCCTGCTGTCTGCGTTGATCCTTCATAGCACGAAGTTGTGCTGGAAGCAGCAGGAAGCCAGGGAGGAGCCCAAGCCCGGACTGGGTGCCATGCTGCTCCTGCAGGGGGAGTGTCCATAAAAGAGGCTCACACTGCCACAGCTGTGCTTGCCAGCCATGAGCCCAGTGTCTAGTGTCCATTTGTCAGCTAAGTGGCACTTCTGCTATGAGAGCGCACTGACCACCAGGGGGCATATCCTGCATTAAGCATTTGCCCCCTGGTGGTCAGCACGCATCATAGCTACCGGCCAGTCATCCGGTTGTCTGGTAGCTTAGGCTTTTATATATATAGATTCCTACTCTGCCTGTGAATGAGGTCTGTCCTGTTTAAGGTTCCCTTCAAATGTAATGAATCCTTACGCTGAACAATTCACTTAGAAATTAAACTGTTTTAAGCACATGACAAGTCAAATAATGTGCTCTGAACTTAATTCCCATATGCAAAAATTATGTCATACACACTGTAAAACTGAAATTAGGCCTATCCTTCAACACTAGGTTTTAACTATATATTCAAGTAAATATGGGTGAAAATAAGAAACTGACAACATACATCTACCGTGTTTCCCCGAAAATAAGACATCCTCTGAAAATAAGACATCCCCCGAAAATAAGACCTAGCACATGGAAAGATAAGAAATCTCCTGAAAATAAGACCTACTGCAACTTTGGGAGAAAAAAATTAATATAAGACACTGTCTTATTTTCGGGGAAACAGGGTAGCTATCTTCAATGTAGATTAAGATTTATTCATGAAATTATCATTGTTGTTAAGGCTTTTGTATTTAATACAAATATGTTGTTATGAAGTCTAATGTAGCTTATGGGTAATAGTACCATGACATCAGTTTCATAATATTTGTTGTGAAATAAATATAATTTGATACCAGCACCACAGGTTGTGTGTGCCAGTTTGCACCTCAGTGAGTTGCTCCATGACAAGTGAAAGGCTTTGTGGTGTATACTGTATCACAATCATTTACATGATTGTTTTAATGAATGTTAAGTGGTAATAGCAGAAAAACTAAAATTTTCTTCCTTTGCCAGTGGACTAGAGAATTTCTACAGCTTTGTAAAACGAAAGGGCAATGCAACAAGAGCATAAGGTATAATACAATTCCAAAAGAAGGCATACTTGCAAATGAACTGAACAATGTAATCTTTCATTGCAGTCTGGCATTCTTACTATCAACAATTGCTACCTGGGAAAAAATGGCTCTATAGCACCTTCCATTGACTTTCACTCAAAATACAAAAGAAGATAGCTATTTTATTAAAAATTCCAAGGACAAATTAAAGCATTGATAATTGAAGAGTTTTATATTTTCACCATCATTTACCTCTTCAGTAATTGAATCTAATGATGATGTGGCTTCATCATAGAGAATAACTTGAGGGTCCTTCAAAATGGCTCTTGCAATTGCTACTCTTTGCTTTTCTCCTCCTGGTAAAAAGCAAACAAACAAACAAACAAACAAACAAAAACACTAATTTAAGGAAACATATCAAAGACATATTTTATGTTTCTAGTATTTGCATAGGATATAACCATCAAATAACACCTTCAGCATTTATCTGCTCAGTTATAAGAGTTTAAGTTTATACATGACATCCTTTGACAAACTACATTCCTTGGAACATAAATGTAGTTTTTGATTCTGACTTCATGACAAGTGAAACAATGAAGAGGGTAAGTAAAAACTTTGATTCCACAATTATTCCTCAAACCAGAAATATGCTCATTACATGTTACTTTATTCTTTTTATTTAAACATATTTTTACTGATTTCAAAGAGGAAAGGAGAGGAAGAGAGACATACAAACATCAATGATGAGAGGGAATCATTGATTGGCTGCCTCCTGCATGCCCCCTACTGGGGACCCAGCCTGCAACCCAGGCATGTGCCCTTGACCAGAATTGAACCAAGGACCCTTGAGTCCACAGGTCGACGGTCTATACACTGAGTCAAACCGGCTAGGGCTACATGTTACTTTATATGTACTTTATATTACTTCCCCAGAAACAGTAATCTCAGATAGAAAAATTTCACTACTGGAGAACTGAAAAGGCCAAAAACAAATTCAATACCTGAAACCTGAAGACATAAAACAATTTATCTCTTAACATTAAAAGGTACCATTCAGCCAGTATTCTCAAGGATTTTTTGTCATAAAGCTACTATTTTTGTAGCACTCTTCAAAATTAAGGGTAGATACCTCTTATTTAACCTTAGTTATTTACTATTGGGTCCTTGTCATTTAAGAATTTTAAAACAGAAACAGTTTTGGGTGGTAAATACAGTGCAATATACAGATGATGTATCATAAGAGTTGTATACTTGAAATCTATATAATTATATTAAATGTCATCCCGATATTTTAATGGAAAAAAAAAAGGACTTATTGGACAATGAGAGGCTGTTTACCTCAGCATGCACCACTGTGACCAGACCCCACGCTCACACAGGGGGGCAGAGCCATCCAATTTTAGACTCTGGGAAAGTGCACACGAAAGTCTGTTTTCCACAGTGCAGGAGTGGACCTCCTACCGACACAGGGTAGCTGACCAACCTGGCCCCCCAAGCAGACTGGAGATCCTGATTCTCCACACGAGAGGCAGCACTGAGCACCAGTGACTTGATTCTGTTTCTCAATGCATGTGCCTGGAATCCCTGATTCCTAGTGCACACACACTAAGAGCCAGTGACCACAATTGTTGGCACGTGCACACAGAGACCCTGATTTTCAGTAGGAGGCCGCACCAAGAAACACAGACTCTGATATTCGATTCTCAGCATGGGCACAGGGGGACTCTGACTCCTGGCACACTCTAGGGAACTCTGATTTCTGGCACACACTAGTGGGGTCTCTTTTTCAGTGCAGTGCAGGCGGGCCCCTGATAGCACAAGACTGCACTAAGTGCTGGTGTCTCTGATCCTGGTGAAGGTTGACTCACACTAACCCATGGCAACCACACATCTTGGTGTCGGAGTTCTTCAGTGACACTCATGTGGCATGAAGTTCCCACTGCACACAGCCCAGGCCCTGGCAACTTGGTGTTTGAACCTTATAGTGATAGTTAGACAGGGGAACCAAAGACACAATCCCCAGAAAAAAAAAAAAAAAGAGGAACCGACAAGAAAGGAAATAAGTGAGAGGGAGGCACATAGCATGACAGAAAAAGAAATCAGAGTAATGGCCTTACAGGTCATACACCAGATGAACAAAAAAAAAAATCAACAACCTATGTAAAAACCAGGAAGAAATTAAAAGTGATATAGCTACAATCAAAAACACCATGGAAGGTTTCAGCAACAGACAAGAAGCAGCAGAGGACTGAATTAATAAGTTAGAAGATAAGATAGAGAAACAAGCCCAAACTGAACAGAAACTGGAAGGGGGAAAAAGCAGGACGAGAGTCTATGGGACTTTTGGGACAACACAAAACGAAGTAACGTACGTATAATAGGGCTGCCAGAAGGACAAGAAAAGCAGCAAGGATTAGAAAATATATGTGAAGAAATAATGACAGAAAACTTCCCTGATATGGGGAAGAAAAGAGTCACCCAAGTATAGAGATTCCTAAGCTCCCAAGCAAGATCCCAAAAGTCACACACCAAAACATGTCATAATTACAATGAAAAAATGTTAACAACAAAGAGAGAATCTTAAAAGCTGCAAGAGAGAGACAAAGAGTTACCTACAAAGGATCCCCCATCAGATTATCAAATGACTTCTCAACAGAAACACATAAAAATAAAATGGAATGGAAGGACGTATACAAAGTGATGCAAAGCAAAGGACTGAATCCAAGAATACTCTATCCAGCAAGACTGTCAATCAAAATTGAAGGGGGAATTAGGAGCTTCACAGACAAAAAAAAAAAGGCTAAGGGAGTTTATTACTACCAAACTAGCAATGCAAGAAATGCTAAAGGGAATGTTGTAAAAATAAGAAATAGAAAGGGAGGAAGGAACACAGGCATAAAGTACCTATCAATAATAACATTAAATGTAAATGGATTAAATGTTCCAGTCAAAAGAAATCGAGTGACTGAATGGATAAGAAAAAATAACCCATATATATGCTGTCTACAGGAGACCCACCTCAGAACAAGGGACTCACATGGACTGAAAGTGAACAGATGGAAAAATATCTATAAGGCAAATGGATATGAAAATAAAGCTGGGGTAGGAATACTTACATTTGACAAAACAGACCTCAAAGTGAAGACAATAACAAGAGACAAGAAAGGCCACTTCATAATTCTAAAGGGATTGGTAAAACAACAGGATATAACTCTGGTAAACATTTATGCACCCAATGAAGGAACATACATAAAAACAAACAAACAAAAAAACAAAAACAAAAACAAAAAAAAACTTCTGGAAGATATCAGGGAAGAAATTGACAGCAACACAATCATAGTAGATTTTAACACCCAATTAACATCACTGGATAAATACTCTAGACAAAAAAAAAATAATAAGCAAAGAACACAAATCCTAAAAGACTCACGAGATCAGATGGACTTAATCAACATCTTTAGAACATTCCACCCAAAACTACAGAATATACATTCTTCTTAAGCTCACATGGGATATTTTCAAAGACAGACCACATATTGGGACACAGGCAAGTCTCTCCAAATTCAAAAGGATTGAAATCAGATCAAGCATCTTGTCAAATCACAAAGGAATAAAATTAGAAATCAATTACAGTAAAAAAAAAATCACAAAAATTCAAACACCTGGAAGCTGAATAATCATACTATAAACAAAGAAATCAAAGAAGAAATAAAAAAACATCCTGGAAAAAAATGACAATGAAAATAAAACAAGCTAAAATCTTTGGGACACAGTAAAATCAGTCCTGAGAGGGAAGAGTTCATAAGATTAAAGGCCTAAATAAAAAAAAACAAGAAAAAATGGTCATAAACCATATAACTCTGCAACTTAAATAATTAGAAACAGAACAACAAGAAAAGCCCAGAGTGAGCAGAAGGAAGGAAATCATAAAGACTAGAGCGGAAATAAATGACATAGAGACTAAAATAATAATACAAAAGTTCAATGAAACCAAGAGCTGGTTCCTTGAAAGGATAAACAAGATTGATGAACCACTCGCCAGGCTCATCAAGAAGCCAAGAGAAAAAAACCCGAGTAAACAAAATCAGAAATGAAAGAGGTGAAATAACAACAGGCCCCACAGTAATATGAAGAATCATAAAAAAAATAATATGAGCAACTTTACTCGAAGAAACTGGTCAACCTAGAAGAAATGGACATATTCCTAAAAAATGCAACTTCCAAAACTCAACCGGGAGGAATAAAAAAAAAATGAATAAGCTAATAACAATGGAGGAAATTGAAGCAGTAATAATAATAATAATGATAATAATAATAATAATAATAATAATAATAAAACTTCCAACAACAAAAAAAAGCCCTGGACCAAATGGCTTCATAGGGGAGTTTTATCAGACATACAAAGAAGAAATAAAACATATCTTCCTCAGCCAATTCTAGAAAATTCAAGAGAAAGGAGCACTTCCAAGCTCTTTTACAAAGCCAGCATTATCCTAATCACAAAACCAGATAAAGACAATACAAAGAAGGAGAATTACAGGCCAATGTCCCTCATGACCACCAATGCCAAAATCCTCAATAAAATTATAGCAAATCCAATCCAGCATTACATTAGAAAGATCATACACCTTGACAACCTGGGATTTATTTTAGGGATGCAAGGATGGTACAATATCCGCAAACCAATAAATGTGCTACACCACATAAACAAACTGAGAGATAAAAACCATAAAATCATATCAATTGATGCAGAAAAATCATTTGATAAAATCCAACAAGCTTTTTTGATAAAATCTCTCAGCAAGGTGGTAATAAAAGGACTATACCTCAACATAATAAAAGCCAAATATGACAAATCCACAGCCAACATCACACTCAATGGGCAAAAACTAAACCCATTTCCCCTAAGAACAGGAACAAGACAGGGATGCCCACCCTCACCATTCGTCTTTGACACAGTACTGGAAGTACTAGCCATTACGATCAGAGAAGAAGAGATAGAAAGCATCCGAATTGGAAAAGAAGAAGTAAAACTGTACTTATTTGCAAATGAAATAATATTGTACTTATAAAACACCAGACTCCAACAAAAAACTACCATGTTTCCCTGAAAATAAAACATCCTCCAAAAATAAGACATACTTACGGGTTTCCTTCTGAGTGAAATATAAGGCATCCCCCGAAAATAAGGCCCCCAGGCTCTGTCTCAGAATGAAAATTAATTTACCGTAAACTGGTTGCTAGGGCTGCCCTGACTGGCATCTAGCAAACAGTGACATTACGCGGAGTCCTGACGTCACTGCTGTGTGGAGGCAGAGCCGAGGTAGGAGTGAGCGGTGAGCACTAGGCGGGAGAA